CCAGGAGGTTTTGGGAGATAGACATCTGAGTGTAGCCACATACTCCCTGGACTCCCAAATGCAACCTTGCGCTGAGCAATTATGTCTGAGCATTTGAGCCAGTCTAATAACCCCTAAATCAGGGATACTCAACATGTGGCCGGTGGGCTGCATGCAGCCCTTCGCCCATTTGTTTGCAGCCTGCGGTGCGGTTTGGGTTTTTGCGGGGCTTCCCATACGGCCTGCAAGTGGGAGCCAAAACAAAACAGTCAATATAATGGTCTTCTGTTGATACACGTTTTAGTAGTTAAATTCTTGGACTGCCATTGCTCATTAAAAGTGCTGTCATATGGGTGGAAATCAGGTAGATACTCACATTGCATTTTATTAATATCAGCAGAACTGATTTAAATGGGGCCTGCGTGTTGTGTTGTCTTGCCTTATTCTTTGTATTCATGCCCATCAGTATGAAAGAATCCATTTACATATATTTGCATATATATTTGCATGTATATGCAACCACACTGACGTAAAAGCGGTGAGGAGTCCTGTGGCACCTTATAGACTAACTGCAGTGTAGGAGCATAAGCTTTCGTGGGCAAAGACCCACTTCGTCAGATGCATGTCTTCTGACGAAGATGACATGCATCTGACGAAGTGGGTCTTTGCCCACGAAAGCTTATGCTCCTACACTGCAGTTAGTCTATAAGGTGCCACAGGACTCCTCGCCGCTTTTGCAGATTCAGACTAACACGGCTACCCCTCTGATACTTCACACTTAAGTAGTGGCCCTCAGCATGTGCTGTGAGTATCACTGTGGCCTCCAGGGCTTCCACAGTCGAGTAGTCCTGTCCTAAATGGTCAGCATTCCCATGGAGTTCTAGTGCTACACTGGCATCGTTAGTTCCTAAATACAGGTCCCCATTTTATTGCATCAGCAACTGAGCTAATGAATACATGGACTGATTTCTGCTCACTGTCAATTGTCCTGGCTGGTTGGTTTTGCAAAGCCTCAACAAGTCTTGTTGCAAGTCTACACTCCCCACTGCTCACAAGCGTGACTGAGTATAACAGTAGCTAAAGGGAGAGGAAAGGAATCTTGCAAGCCCTGGTCTCTGAATAGTCTTACCTTAAAAGATCACTAAAATACTTTCTAAAAGACTCTTTGCTCTTTGATCCAGGAGTATAGTTCCCATATACATTAAGGAAACAAAGTTCAGTCTCCAAGCAGAGAGGAAGTGCACCACAAGCAATGGGTTTTGTACGGGGTTTCCAGCCAGCATACGTCTTACGGTAGGACAGTGGGATGCAAATGCGCTAGGCTTAAAAATATGGAGTCTAAGCAGCTGGTTAAATATTCCCTTCCATTGATTTGACTAAATATGCTCTACTCTTCAGCTCCAGGAAAGTTAACAATAAAGATTAGTCAGTACAGTCTATGGATTTAATACCACGTTCAGTGAGAAGCAGAGTATGATATATAAATGACAGCATGCAATCTGCTTGCACTGGATATATCAGTTTGAACAAATAATGGTCCCTACCATCATCCCTGGGCATATCTCCCAAACCAATCACAGTCAATATATAAGATATAATAAACAGGATCCTGGATTAGATCTGGACTGTTACTAGGGTTTAGGGTGAAGAAAGAAGCTCTCTCAGGTCTGTGGGAGAGAGCTGGCAAGCTGAGAACTGGGATGAAGTGACCTGGTTTTATAAAGAATTGTAATTTTCCAGCAGCTGTGTATATTTTCTTTAGTTGGAACAGAAAATTACTCTGACAGACTTAACGACTGGCTCTATCAGTCTAAGAGGCCTAACAAAGAGGAGGTTGCAGATTTCAGCTTCTCTGTATTATCAGTATCCTTTCCGCAGACAGAAACTGCCGTCAAAACATAAACATTCTTCTCTCCTCTGATTTCAGGACAGATTGATAGAAACACACTTACCAGGCTGGAGTATGCCTGGCTTCCAATTGCTTTAACAAGGGTCCTTTTAAATCAAACCCCTGCAGCCCTGCTCTCACCATAGATTCCTGCCACAATGTATGCTACTAAAACCATGGCATTAAGATTTGAGAGAGATACATTAAGGGAATGATCCTATACACACTAAAGCTAACAGGAGCCTTTTCATTACCGCAATGAGCTTTGAAATTGGACATTATGAGCTTCATTAATCTGGATTACAACACATGAGTAGTCACACTGCTCTAACTCCACTCCCAAAGGCATATCCTATCATACAATAGGCTTAATGTAAAACCTGAGGTAGAGTCTATCGTATTCAAAAGCCTTGGTGCCTTCTGGAATCTGGAGAGAATGTCCTCAAGACATTCTTTCCAGTTTATTTTAGATTCTGGATGGGGTAGTAAACACACATGACCTTAGATTCTATAATATCTGGAAGGGATGTTAGAATGTAGCCGAATAACCATTTAATCGATAAGCTGATGCTTATCAGTCAATGTTTTTGATTACACTCAGCTGGCTTCTAGGGAGGCAGCTTCGCTGCACCTAGGCAGTGAAGTCACCTTCCCAGGAGCCAGGTGGGCAAGGGCTGGTGGCCCCGCTCCGGGAGAGGCTTCACTGCAGGCTCTGCAGTAAAATCTAAGCTAAACATCAGTGTGTTTGACTTATTCTTTCAAAGCCAAGGTATCAGCTAAGTTTTATACTGCAGAGTCTGCAATATACAAAGCGGTCAGCTAAGCTTTATACCCCTGACCTGCCCCAGCAGGTTCCAGCTGGGGCTGGGATAGAGCTGGGGGAGGGCCACCTTTGCTCCTCCCCTGGCCACGACTTGGAGGCTAGGCTAGGCTGGAGCCAAGATTAGGGCAGTTCTCTCCTCTCCTGGCTGTGTCAAGTTCCCGGCAAGGTTCCCTCTAATTTTCCATCCATGTGCAGAATACATTTTATGTGCACTGAGGCATATGCGGATGTGAACCGCCAGTAGAAACACATGCTGCCAGCTGTGGATGCTCTGCTAATTAGCTGGGCAGCTTGAGAATGTCTCCTGGGTGTTCGCCCCAGTGCTCAGCTTACAGGAAACACTGGTCTGCTGGTGGGTTCCTTGAGCAACTGCATGGCACTAAATAGGCAGCTGCATGGCCATGCAGCTTACAGGGAACTTAGAGCTTCTCCTAAGGAGTGGGAGACCTAACTGCTGAGTTATGGGATATTTTGAATGATGGGGGGGCTCCCTCCATCTCTCCAGATGAAGCTGTTCCACTTGGATAAATAATTAAATAGTCATTGGAGCTGGGTGTCCCAGATAGCTGTCTTAACCAGCAAGCTATAGAGTCCCTCTCACATAGTCTCTGGACAAATCTTTCTTCTGTTACTTATCCACAGGGAAACACAGCATTACATCAGCCTATCCCGATGGTTAGAGCACGTCTCTGAGGCTAGGTCTACACTACAGTTTTTGTACAAAAACCCATGGAGAATCCACACCTCAAAGCATTTTTGTGCAAGTAAAATGAAAGAACAGAGTTTTTCCTTCAACGAGGAATAACTCTTTGCACAAGAGCTCTTGCACGGACATAACCTCACTGTTTTGACATAAGGAATAGAAATCACCCCTTTCCAGAGTCTCTCTTTCTTCAGTATATTTCATCCAGTTGTTAAACATCATTATAAATGTACTTGAACAAAGAAACTACTGTAATTATGTAGCGTCCTCTGAACAGTCAGAAGAGAAAGAAAACAAAACAACCAAATCCAAACATGCGCACACACCACAAAAGAATGATACCTAAGTACAATATTTGTCAGACAAGTGCATTTTCCCACATCCCTCAATTCTGTAAACTTTATAATCCTTTATAGCTAATCTCTTGCTACACTCTGCTATCAGCGGTGTGCACAAGAGCAAATAAAACAAAGTGTTCCACTAGTTAAATCTACTATGAAAATATCAATTAGATATGACAATGCAGGTTTAACAGCAGGCGGTAAATAACTTTACAGCATTGGCTATAACTGAAAACCAGGATTAGACAGCCAGAACAGTAAAGTAAAAAATACATTTAAATAAACTTTTAAAATGTGGGGGTTGAGGGTCAGAAACGTTTGTGAGAGTAATGTAAGTTTGTTGCATCTTGGACAACATAATTTTGAAGCTTCATTGGAGACTTTCAATAATAATGGAGACTATGTGAGTTAGCTAACGCTCAGTCATTTGGTCTGGCCCCTGCTCCTACAACATGAGTTTTTCAGTAGATCAATGGAATTCTTATTCATCCACTCACGTGGGTTACAAATTAATCTCAGAGGCAACCCGAGACATTTCATTCCCGGCAATACATTACACCTCTGAAGCAGCTTCTATCAAGCATCTGAAAGCACTTTACAACCATTCATTTAGCCTTACAATGTGCTGTGAGGTCATGAGCTAGTATTATCCCTATTTTAGAGATGGGGAAACTGAGTCACAGAGAGAGGGCAATCCCTAAGATCACACAGCAAATCAGTAGCAGACATGAGAAGACAACTGAGGTGTCATCGCTGCGTAACTAACCTATGAAATGGAAAATATCGCCATCTGCCTGACATTTCAATATCAAGACTTTGCAAGATAAGAAGCTTTCAGTACTTCTTTTGAAACGTTTTACGTGTGTTTTCAAAATTCTTCTTCCCCAAACGTACCAACTTACTTCTGAGGAACTTGCATTCAGTTGCTCAAACACTGCAATGGGATTGCCAGACAGGCTCAGCTATAACCAAGGTTTCCTGGTGCTGGATTTTCTATGAGCTGAGTTCATCTTGTGCACCATTGCAGGAAATTGGGGGGGGGGGAGGGGACAAGCAAACGGCACTTCCTGAAGCTGCCCTACCTAGCTCCGTTCTTATTGCTCCAGGCAGGGGCGGATGAGAGTGCCGCGGGGCCCAGGGCAACGCCGCCGGGCCCCGGGCAGCAAAATTTCGCAGGGCTCCCCCCTTTGATACAGCGCATGCACTGTGGTGCCAAGGCGCATGCGCAGGGCCTCGGGAAGCGCAGGGCCCGGGGCAGTTGCCCCGCTCGCCCTGCCCTAAATCCGCCGCTGGCTCCAGGTAGCACCTAGGCAATAGCTGAGCCTTGGAATTCTCCAGCCATGTCTCCTCCAGCCCGCAGAACATCTCCAGAGGCAGTGGCTTCTGGATGGGGGGCAATTGCAAAACCAGCTCAGTGCCTACCAGAGAGGCTACTTATGCGGAGATGCTGAGGTGGTTCCCCAGACGGGCCTTAGTTCTTGCTGCCTGACTGCCAGGACACAGCCAACACAATTCATCAGTGTTCTAGCAGCCTCCAAGCCCCTTTGGTCTCCATCCAAAACAAAGCATTTTTAACACAGAGTGTAATCAGTGCTTGTGAGATCCCTTGGGCATGGCCACTGTGTTTAAACCTGGAGGCTGTTTTACAAAAAGTTTCAAAAAAGTATTCATATGATTCCAGCACCAGATTGTGTCTTCGCTATTTATCATGTACCTGGATTCCTTTTGCCGTGCAAATAAATGCATACTATCAGCTTCAGGCCTAGCCCGGCAGGCATGAGATGACCCCTAGTGATAAAAACCTGCAAGCAGCGCTCAGACTAGGCAACAGAAGAGATTACATGCCCCTAAAATCAGCCTTGTCCTTGAGACAAAACATGGCTTTGATTGTTTCCAAAGTGTTTCCTGCTTCTTGATCTGTTTTCCTGTGGGCAGCCCTAGCACAGCAAATGGATTCTGGAAGCAGACACACAAGAGGCAAACAGGGAGGAGGGTTACTCCTCAGCGAGGTATGTGGATAAGCTAAGTCTACAGAAAACAGTTTCCTTTTCCCTTTTTGTTTTTCTCCCTTTTGCGACTCTTCCCACTCTGTCCTTCTGTAGCTGTCTCTGTAATTACCCCATTACTCTGTCCTTCCTAGGGTAGTAGCTCAGGGGCCCTCAAAGCTCTTCACTTTAGGACCTCACAGAACCATCACAAAATAAGAAGGAATCTCTTAGGCCCTTCATCAGCTGACTCTTCACTCTGCCCAGAATCATAGCAAATAAGACATTGGACGACAGAGAATAACTGCAGCACCATGTTCTGTTCTTCAGTGTCTGCACAAAACATAGGGATATATATTCATAGTGAATGATGTGTTTTAAATAGACAGACAAGTTGGATCCATCCAAAAATACTCATGCACACACTACACTGGTGTCTGATTGACCTGCTTTTGGTGAGTAACTGTCTGGATTAACCCTCTGAGGCTTTGAACCTTTGGTTCCAGGGAATCTAGATTGTTCAAATTTTATAACCTCCAGTCTTCCACTTCAAAATACTGAGGTAACACACACTGGGGTTATATTCTAGCTGAAAGGTCTGAAAGAGTATGGATGAGAAATTCTAAAAACAGGACCCAACATATCTTTCAATGGGATTTAGACAGGTGTCAGGAAAGCGGCTTCCTATGTTGTCATGTGGCTTGGATGTCTCATACAAGCAGGACCGCACTATGTGGCTGAGAGAGATTTAATTCTATCCAGCTTCTGGAGCCACTTTCTTCTGTAATTTGTCCGCTCAAGAAGGGGAAATAGTTCTTTGATTGCTCGGTGTTGGTGCTGCACTGGAAAGGCAAGGAAAGCAAACAGAAACCACAGATATTTCCTTATCTTGCTAGTCAATTATTAATTAGAGTTTCATTTTCAGCCATGCATTTGACCAGCAATCATAACTTCTGCACTATTCATTGCTTTGCTATATGTTCAGAACAGAAAACTTCCATGAACCTGGGAATGCATCAGGAGACGTCAGAAAGGGCAGCTAGAAGGGACACTCAACAGGAGCCAATACACAGTGGTCCTATTTGTTTCCCATGTAAATATAATTTACTCCCATAATGTGGTGTGCGGATCCTTTGTCACGCTAGAGAGAGGAGGGCCCTGAAGATTGCTACCCTTGTCCCACACTATTCCTAGGAGGCTGCCCCAAGACAGCCAACAGCTTTGGGTTTCAGGAATTTGTTCTGAGGTAGAGTTAAAGGCACCTTAAATGCAACCAAAGGTGAAAATAAGCTAGTGCACCTTAGTGTGGCGCCCAGGTCAGAGACTGGCCAGCTTAGGGCTAGGCTTTGGATGCTGCTATCACTTTAGGTTGTGTGGCCACAGCATACACAGGCTCCACTGCCCCAGGGATCTGGCAGCCAAGCAGCACAGTGGCCATATTCCCCACCCTGAGCTCCCTGCCTCATACTCCCAACCTTGAGCCCCCTCCACCTTCATGCCTGATCCTTCTACCCCCATCCCTGAGCCCCCACACCTGCCAACCCCCTATAAGTTACTTTCACCCCTGAATGCAACTGAAAGTATTTCATCTCAGCTCCTTAAAAGAAGAGGGGGCTACTCACTGGGATGAGGGGTGGAGAGGAAAATCAAGGGATTGTATGTATGTCGGGAGAGCATGATCTGGGGAAACAAAAGAAAACAAACCATAGGGGATAAATTTTATAAATTTACTGTTTGTAAAACAGTATGGAAGCAATGCAGTTAGAAGCTTCATTAAATCAGAACCCCTGCAGTGAAAGCCTAAATTTTCCACAGCCAGTGTACATATTCGCTCAAAAAATATACAAAAGAAAAACAATTCCAGCCCAGTACTATATTACACAATATAAGCTCCTTCTCGAACAGCATGAAAGCATCACACTTTTAGGTAGGGGCCATTCATAAAATAACCCAAAATAGAAAGTCCAATAGCTCTATCACTCACTAACATTAATGGAAAACTGGAAAGGCTTTTTAAACACCCTTTAAATGTTCACCCCTTTTGTGCCTACATTTAATTTTTATAAGGGGCTCCCTGGAGCAATCCTGGTCTTGTTTATATTTGACTTCACCACATTTTCTGCACGGGTGATGATGAAGTCACCACAGTAAAGATGGAGAACAGTTTACAGTTTAGTGAACAGAAAAAGCAGGCAGAAAACATGGGTCATTTTGACATGTAAATCGTGCTGACCTCTAAAACTGCCTGTCTGCTGAGTGTAAGGGGCTGACTACAGCCCTGGACTTGTTAATTCCACCTGTGTTTGAGATTTTTCTGGAAGCAGCAATCCAGGCTCTTTTACAAAAATAAAATAAGTTGCCAACAACCATAAATCTGTCTTCACACAGCCACAATTTATTACCCGTTGTTTACAAGAGAGATGACTGACTTGTCAAAGCTTTGCAGAAATGGATCCAGATCCTCAAGCTTGTTTAACTGTCTAGCTCCCACTGAAATCAATGAGAGTTAAGTGCCTGCACATACCTTTGAGGGTCTGGGTCAAAGACCTTTTCTGCTCCTGGTCCTACATGACTAAAAAAGGAATAACACATCTAACAATTAAAGCTGGAAAACAAAAAGAGGGGGAGCTCATCACTTTATAGAGGCCCGTAGAGAGAGAGAGAGAGAGAGAGAGAGAGAGAGAGTGCATGTGTAAGGTGCAAATGCTCTCCCCCAAGTAAGTGCCCATGTGTGCGTGTGTGTGCATGTGTGTATGAGAGAGGGTGTGTGTGTGTGTGTGTGTATAAGGTGCGAATGCTCTCCCCCAAGTGAGAGTGAGAGAGTGTGTGTGTGTGTGTGTGTGTGCGCGCGCGTGCATGTGTGCGTGAGAGAGAGAGAGAGAGAGAGAGGTGTGAATGCTCCCCCACAAGGTCCCCCAAGTAAGTGTGTTCTGTCCAGCCGGGGAAAGGCAAGAGAGGCACACACTGCCCGAGTGCCCTCCCCCATGTTTCGGCCAGCCAAGGGAAGACTGGGGGTGAGATTCTGCCCCCCTTCAAAACCAAGGCTTGGGCTGGAGCTAGGCCTTGCTCTGAGGAGAGGAAATTAACCCCTGCCTTCCCCCAGCCGACCAGAGAATGGGGGAGGGAGCTCGGGTAGTGCGCTGCTCCTGCCTTCCCCCAGCCAGTGGTTTGTACAGAGCTCTCTCTATAGGACTGTGCTACTTAGGGAGAACGTAGGGTTACTGAGCATGCTCAGGAGCTCTGCAGAAGCCCCTGTCCTTCCTATGTAGACATTTCTGCTGGCTACATTTTATAGGGTGTTAAAAAGGGAGAAAAAGAGCTAAACAGAGGAGGGGGTGAAAATTAACTGGGGGGGGAAGCGGCTTCAGGCAGGGTTAGAATTGGTGCTGAAGGCAAAATCAGGGCTGGTGGGGGGGAACAGCAGCTGGTAAGCGCCGTTGCTGGAGCGACACGCAGGGCAAAGTCTCAGCACAGGCAGGACAGAAGGTAACTGCTATCAGCAGCATGGTCCTACAGGCAGCAGTTCTATATATATAAAAAAAAAAACCTGTATGTAACTATTACCTGTAGGATTGTGCTGCTTCTGGAAGCAATATCTTATAAGAGCATTTCCTTATGATCATACAAATCAGTAACTGCTACTGGTAGCACAGTCCTACAGGGAGCAGCTCTGTACTAACCACTGGCAGGAGCACACCTACATGGGGGATCATGGGGGAGGGGGTGCGTTCGCACCCTTGTGGTCCACATTTACAAAAAAGAGCACCCCGCATAGAAATTCCTGGCTGTTATAGTGTCAAAAGCTTTCTTCTGGAGGCTTCTCAGGAGTATGCACTGGCGGAGTCTAATACACAATCAGGGAAGGATGGATATTCTGGCACCATTTTGGATCTTCGAGAGCTAGGTTCAATTCTCTATCCTACTATGAGCTTCTAAGTGCCCTTCAGCATGTCACTTATGGCCGGGAATTGCAGTGCTTTTCTTCCTGCACCAGGGATCACAGAATACATAGAATAGTAGAACTGGAAGGGACTTTGAGAGATCATCAAGTCCTGTCCTCTGCCTTCACATCAGGACCAAGTACCATCTACACGCATCCCTGACAGATCTTTATCTAACCTACTCTTAAATATCTCCAGTGATGGAGATTCTACAACCTCCCTAGGCAATTTATTCCAGTGTTTAACCACCCTGACAGATGGGAAGCTTTTCCCAATGTCCAACCTAAACCTCCCTTGCTGTAATTTAAGCCCATTGCTTCTTGTTCTATCATCAGAGGCCACGGAGAACAATTTTTCTCCCTCCTCATTGTAACCCTCTTTTAGGTATTTGAAAACTGCTATCATGTCCCTTCTCAGTCTTCTCTTTTCTAAACTAAACAAGCCCAATTCTTTCAGTCTTCCCTCAAAGCTCATGTTTTCTAGACCTTTAATCATTTTTGTTGCTCTTCTCTAGACCTTCTCCAATTTCCCCACATCTTTCTTGGAATGTGGTGCCCAGAACTGGACACAATACTCCAGCTGAGGCCTAATCAGCACAGAGTAGAGTGGAAGGGTAACTTCTCGTGTCTTGATGAAGAACAACTGCTCTGAATGGAGCAAACAGGGAGCACTGGATACAGATTCCAATTTGTTCAGTGCATGATCTAAGCTGGAAGGCTCTGAGAGTGGACGAAGTGCTGCCTCCATTAAAAGGAAATGGAGTCTGGCTGCTCTGCCCTTTTGGGGACAGAGCTTTAAACCCCTACCAATATGGCATCTGTCATGAACACATGATCCCCCCCCAGGCACTTAAGACAGGAGAGGTGAGGATCTCTCATAGGCACAGACCTTGGTACTGGCACCCAGGTGGGACCTGGTGAAACAAACACCTTAAAATCTAAAACCTTACTTACTAAATATGACTTTTATAAGCTCTAGGCAAAAATGGGAACTAGATAGGAGAGGTAGGCGGAAAAGACTTGCAAACACACAGGCTCCAACAACCATCACAGGGGGTAAGGAGGAACTCAGGGAGCTCAGGGGCAGCTTCACCCCTTATGCCTCTACATAGGAGCACCAGGGAGCCGAGAGTGCTCCTGCCACCCTGATAGATACTGCTTGGAGGGAAAAACAGCCAACAACTGGGCACAGGATGTGCACACACCTATAGTGGAATAGAAATGGGCAATCACTCGGGCTAAGTCTACACTACAAAGAAAAGTCGGGAAAAGTATCTTTTTCCACTTTTCTTCCAAAAGAGGCTTTTCTGACATTTGGCCCATCTACACAAGGCCAAATGTCGGAAAAAAAAAGCCTCCTTCAGAATACCCCTTCTTCTTCATAGAATGAGGTTTACAGGGATTCAGAAAAGCAGATGCATTTTTTCAGTAATTTTTTTCAGAAAAGCAGTCGCGTTCTTTCGACGCAGCAGAGTGTTTCCGGGATACCTTCTGTATCCCAGAAAAGCTGTATAGTCTAGACATACCCTCAGAGAGGGTATGAGGCATTATGAGTGTAAATCCCCTTGTAGAAGCTCTGGGAAGAACAATTGTGCAAACAGTGCTACAGCTGGCCCTCCTGATGCAGAACTGTGTAATCTGCATCTGTGTACCAGGGGGTGAATAAAGCCAACTGGAAGTCTTGCCACTAAAATATAAAGGCAGCATTTGCAAATTACAGAATGATTCTAATATATACACCAAAAAAGAAATGCCTGAAATTAAAAAAAAAAAAACCCATTGTCTATTAAAAAAAAAAAAAAAAAGAAGAAGTTCTGAGGCACTTCTCTAATATTTTTCATCCAAAGATGGAAAGGTGTTTCAAGAGTGTTAATAAGCAAAACTATCATCTGTGTTAGCTCCAGTTGGTCTGAGTTATATAGTATCACTTCATTCAGTCCAGAAATACAGCCATCTCTGGCCTTATCTACGCCATCACAGGCTGTCGATCTATGCCACTTCACCAAAACGAGAAGAATAAGCGATGTCCACGGGACGGCATCAGCTGTTGACTTACTGCAGTGAAAATACTGTGATAAGCAGACCTACGTTATTCATGTAGTTGAAGTACCAGAGTTGACTGGAGACCACATAGTGGTCAATTTATGGCTTCTTACACCATAAATCAACACCTGCTGGATCAATTGCTGCCTGTAGTGAAGACATGTCCACTAATACAGAATGCAATGGTGGTAGTAAAGGGCAGGAAATAGCGAAGAATCACTTCCTAAGATGCTGAATTAACCATTGCCCTGCCCTTACACACGTCACAGCTGTCTGTCTTGCAGGTTATCCTAAAAAGACAGTACTTCTAACTGTGCAGCACCTGCTAACACTGTGCAGAAGCATTGGTTTTAGCACAAATCCAGAGGGAAGAATACTCCCTTCTGAATCATTAGCATTGTTTCCTGCTTCAGCTTGTCACTCTTGGGAGATGAACCCACCTCTGTCAATCATGCTCAGAATTGTCAACCCCAAGGGTTCAAAAATCATGGGTCAGGCCCTAAGAACCAAGAGAAAATATAAGATTTTGTAAGAATAATATTTTAGGTTCTTTTCTCTGAGCCCTTAGGGTATGTCTACACTACAAAGTTAACTTTAATAGGCGCTACACATACAAACCGCTAGTTCGAACTTAATTTGAACTAGCGGAGCGCTTAATTCGAACTAGGTAAACCTCATTCTATGAGGGCTAACACCT